CAAGAAATTTCATTTTTTGAAAAATAAAACCTTTTGAGAACTAGGCTATCGGGTAATCGAATTTTTTTATCTCCCCACCTTCTTTTAAATATTAAATTGTTTAATTTGAAATAATTAAGCATTTGTTAAGTTTTAAATATTTTTAGGGTAAAATTAAAAAAAAAATGTGTAAAAATAAGTTATAATATTTGTATATAATTTGAAAATTTAGAGAAAATAAAATTGTAAAAAAGTAGAAGATGTTGGTAAAAAAAAATTGAATGGTATTTTAAAATAGATAGTATTGTATTATAATTCAAAATATATAATTTGTCACATAGTACAAAATTTCAAACACAATTTCAAAATGAAAAAAAATCATAAACATATGTTTGAAATTAAATACTTATCAATTATTTATTTGGTCAAAATTAAATTATTATTATATTAACTTGAGAGTTGAGTGAAGGAGAAGAATGCAATAAAATGGCATGGTCAAATTCTCTCAGAAAAATGGAGTATGACATGTGATAATAAGAAATTTGTCAATAAATACATTGATAATGGGCTGTCAAAAACTCATGGTATCCTCGAGGACGTTAAAAAAATAATAACCTCTTATATTTTAGAATGTACCATAAAATTTTACATTAAGTCAGTGAATTAATGACCAAATTTAAATTAGTTAATTTTTTTTTAAAATAATAATAATATATTTATATAAAAATAATTAATTCAGATAATAAATTTAAATTTTTAAATAAAAATTAAAATATATTTTTTTAAAATTAAAGTTGAAATTAAATTAATGAAATTAATTTTATTTTAAATATAATAATATAATATATAAATTATAAGAACATAAATTTATTTATTATTAAAAAAGTTAAATATTTATTATTCTTTATTATTATTATTATTATTAATTTTTTAATAATTTAAAATAATAGTTTATCTTTTAGAATAAATAGATGTTATAGAGTTATTATTATATTTAGTCTTAGAATAAATAAAAACTTTATTAAATTAATTTATAATATATATATATATATATATATATATATATATATATAATATAAAATAATATTTTTATTTTACTTAAAAATAATAATTAATTTATAAAATAATTTAAAAAAATCTATTTAGATTATAGGCTAAACTTGTTGAATCAAAATTAGGGTCATAAATTTTTTTCTAATATGATATATTTTTCAAATCTTTTAAATGATTCCACCAAATTAAGTTTATTTACCTATTGCTTCGAATACATTATATTATCAAATATTTCGTTAAAGAGGATAAGAAGTTGACAAATTAAATATGGTAAAGTGTATATATAATTATGTGAGCATGGAAAGTAAAACGTTAAATTCAAACATTATAAGAAGAATAAGACAATTATTAATAAAAGATTTAAAACAAAAAAATAAAGTCTTTGAAACGAATACTAATATATTATATGTATTATTATGAAAGAAAAATTCATGAAAATCAATAATTTTTAATTTGTAGCAATTAAAATAATTTCTTTGAGTTTTAAAATCATTTGCATAAAAAATAAGTTATGAGTTAGCTTTCATTATAAGCTAATTTTTGTCCAAGACTTCTTCAAACAAGTGTCATGTGTGTGTTGTAAAAAAAAAAAAATGAGAGTTATTTTCTCACCTTATTGGAGATTTATTTCTTGAAAAAGGTATGAATTTTTCTCTTTAATCTTATTTTCAAGTGACAATTTTCCTGAAAATTTATCTTGATTTTTCAAATGGCCTAATTATCATTTTCTATTTTTGTCATATTTAGTTTAAAATAATTTTGCCGAAATATATTACTTTAATCGTATTGCACGCGTATTAAGAATAATAATAACATATATTACTTTTTAAACAATTTTACTGAAATAATCTCACCTTTTTTAAAAATAAATTATTTTTTATAAAAATAAATAAATTTATTTATTTGAGGACATGTTAGAAAGAAAAAATAATAATGCTTTACTGGAACTTGAGAAAATATTTTATATGATCAAAATTACCATTATTTTGCAACGGAACAGTAATATACAATTATATTAAATAGTTAATCCATTTGTTTAAATTAAATAAAAAACTATTTACTGTTAAATAACCATAACCATCTACTCCAAATTAATAATTTGTTCAATTTTTAAAACCAATCTAAAGCTCATTTTTAAATATATTTATTTTTAATATAAAAAAATAATATTAACGTAACGAAACCAATTACTAATATCACAACAAAATGGATATATCAAAATAAAATAAAAAGCCTTTTTAAATAATATTTAAATTTCATTATTTTTTTTAAGGTCCAATGAGGAATTGGTTACCCATTATTGATTTCCCAAAGGAATTTTCTAATAAAAAAAAACAATGACCAGAAATCAGTTAGCTAAATAAAAGGAAATATGTTATTGAGATAAAATCTTATTTTTTATTTTTTTTAAGTCCCTCTCTTATTTCATAATTATAATACTAATACTATATAAAATTATAATCACAATAATTTTTATTTTAGTCTAATCATATAACCAATAATCATTAAGGCAAATAAATACATAAAACAATGCTATTATTAGAATAACGAGACAAAGAAGACAGAGTTAAATATTTTAAAATGATTTTTTTTAGTAATTAAAAATTTAATAGAAAATAACTATTTATATGTAAGTTTGGAAAAATAATAATTTTTATATTCGTTGTTGCTAAAGTTTAAAAATTAAGAAAGTATTTTGGATTATTTGATAAAGTATTTTATAAAGCAATACTTGAATATCAATTTTGGATCTTTGAAAATGTATATTTTTTTTAATCCTTAAAAACATCAAAATTAAAAAATAATCCATAAAATATCATATGTATGTATGAAAGCAATTAATAATTATCTTTTAAAGGGTTACTTTTTTTCCCTCCTTCTTTTTATTTTTTACTTTTCCCTCCTCTCTTTTTCTTATTTTTCTTCTCCTTCACCTCTTCATCTTCTATTTTTATTTTTTTTTCATTTCATCTTCCTCATTTTTTTTCTTCCAGTTTTGAATATTTTATTTGAAAAAGGAAGAGGGAAAGAAGGAAGGGGAAGAAAAAAAAATTGGATGGGGCTAATTTAGGGGTTTTATTAAAGTTTGTTTTACTGAAATTTGCATGGAGGAATAAGAAAAAGAGATGCATAAATGGAAGAAGACGAAGAAGAAAAATATTTAAATAATTGAAAAATGATTTCTATTAATTAATATTATTCTTTTTATATTGTGAATCAATAAAAACAACAATGAATATTTGTCATGTACAAATAATAGATAGTCAAAGTTTAATTTCTTTTGACTTGTCCTTGAAATTAATTATGCTTAAAGGCTTCTACGTGATAAATATAACGAATTTTAAAATCAAAAGATTTATGTATCTTTATAAATAAAATATTAAAAACTGATAAGAATGAAAAATAAAGAAGGTTAATAAATTTTTAGAACAGAAATAGATTAAAGTTAAAATACCAATACTAAATTTGGCTAAGTTAAAGATTTTCGAAAGAGTTTGATTAAAAAGTCATGTCATCAATAAAACAAACTATAAAAAAGAAAATAATAAACCTTTTTTGGATAAATGTCAAATATATGAGAAAATAACACAACATGTAATTAACGTTCACTTAAAGTAGTAATCGAACATGTCATGTATCCATTATAACTAAATAACTGTCAACGAGAGTGTATAAATAAAAGCATAGGTTGTATTTAATGTATACAGATTGAAAATTTCTACAATGTTTATGATTATGATTAATGAAAATATAGTCATTATATACATTATTACCAATGCAATGTTCATTTATTCTCTTATTTATCTTGTTTATTTTTAGTTTATATTAAAATTTAAGTTTTTTTTTTACCTTTAATTGAGTCTAGGTCAAATAATATTTTTTTCTCATTAATTTACTTTGTTCTTTTTCATGTTGTTTCACTGTTATTTTTAATGCCAATTTCATTTTTTTAAGTGACACATAAAATTTAATATTTATGATATTTTAATTTACTGTTATTTCTTTAAATAATACAAAGTCAAATTTAACTGATATGTTATAAGTATATTTTGTTTTGTATTTTTTTTTCAAATTTATTTTTATTCCTTATATTTTTAATTTATTAATTTAATTTTCAAAGTTTTTAAAATATGTTATTTTAATTTTATATATCTAAGTTTAATATTTAAAAATAATTGTTAATATTATACAAAGTAAATAGAATGACTAATTTTATAAAACGTGATTTAAATATTTTCATTCAGTAATAATATTTTACCGTCACAAAATTGATAAAGAAATCAATCATATTTTTTTAAGCTTTCAGGACTAAATTAATCAAATTTTAATACATGTGACAAAATCAACTTAAAAAAAATCAATCTTATTCTTAATTATTAGTATTATATGACACTATAATTATATCAAATGCATAATCAATGAACCATTTTCAAACAACATTTACCAGATATATATATATATATATATATATATATATATATATATATATATATATATATATGAGTTAAAATTGAATATATTAAAAAAAATAGAAAGAGTTTATCTTCAAATGAATTTAAGAAATAAAAAATAATGATTTCAATTTTTTTGTAAGGATAGAAATATAAAAAAAGTATTATAGAAATTATTATAGATTTTACAAAAATAAAAAATTATAAAAACTAAAATTAAAATTCATTCATTTTATATAATTAAAAAATATATGTAAGTCTTGTAGTTGATTTATAAACTATTTTTTACCTTCAATAAATAGCTAATAAATAAAACATATAATGAATGAATTTAGAATTAGGAAAGAATGTAAAATTTTACATATAAAATTTAACATCAACGAAGAATAAACAAATAAAGTTATGCGCAGCAGCAATTAACCGACCTATTGTTTAAAACAGTATAAAAACAACGATCTCTGATAGAGCAGTTTCAGTTTCAATTCACCATTCATCGTTCTCTCTGTTCCACAAATCATGGCTACATACCAAATCAAGAGCACCCAGAAGCCGATAACGTTTTCCCACTCGGAGATCGAAGCAGCGAAGCAACTCATTCAACTCAGCAGCGGAGATTCTGAAGAGGATCACCACAGCAGCAACAACAGCTGCAGCTACAGCGTGGTGCAAGGGAAACCGCATCAGAGCAGGGTCGATTCTGGTGGCGATGTTTCCTCCGTCGCAGAAACCACCGTGGACTCCCAAGATGAAAGCTTTGCGAGCACCAACAAGAGGTACCGTTGTATTAAAGATTTGTATAGCGTTACCGCGCCTGTTCCTGCGGTGAAAGCGAAGAAGAAAAGGAACAAAAAAACCAGTGTGGGAGATAGGAAGTGACACCAACAAACATGATGATGATTAGTGTTATTATAACTTACATAAGCTAACTATCCCAGTTTGCAAGATGTAAAATTTGTACGTATTAAGTTTTCACTGCTTTAGACTGTTTTGCATGCTTGGTTAATTAATGAGAAAGTTCTGGAAATTTCAAGATGTATAGCCAGAAATTTCAATTTGTTTCCGAGTTTTTAGCTGTCTCTAAGGATTAGAACACTGCTTTTGAGTGGTATCAGAGATTGACACATCTAATCGAGTCTTCTGTTGATACTTTCTATGATTTGGGTTCGCTTATCAATTTTCTTTACTAAACAATATACAAACTTCACTAAATATAAATTTTTGTTGACTTGATTTTGCAAAGAAACATGTTTTTCTCCAATTTAAACTTCTAGTAGAAAAAAAACTGGTTTTGATAGTGTTTTAGCTAATTTTCTTGTTAGTATGACTGCGACCATAATGAAGATTAACCTTGTTTTGTGATTGTACCATACCCTATCGTTGAAGAGGAGGATTGAATTAAAATTGGGGTTTGGAAGCCCCAAATTGAATTTTGAACAGTTGAAGAGGGAGACGAGGGAGTGAGGAGGAATCCGTTGGAAAGCTTGGAAAAATGAAGGTCGTGAGAATAGATTTTGTTGGTCGATATGCGAGTTGCGATCGTTGTCGTACAAGTGATGATATAATTATATATGACTATGGATTTCAAACGTTAAACGCCACCGTTTGGTCGCTCAGTGTTCGCTGACAATTGACATTTACCAAATCACAATGTTATAGGTTCTGTACGAGCACGACATCGCGGTTACTCATTTAATACAAGAAAGTAGTGTGTTACCTTTTCTTTTATATGCTAATAATAATCAATGGCACTCAAAATGCACCTAACATATGTTTATGTTTAAGCACATGATACTTGTGATAAGCATTAAGTTACTATAAATCATTCATATTTTGCATATCACCAAATAAAGACTCCTATTCACACCCATAATGGTTGAATAGTTAGATAATTAAACGAAACAAGTTACATAAGTAAGGATAATTTTTATTTTATTATTGAGTCTATTTTATAAGGTTGAATTATATATTTCTTTATTTTAATATAAAGTTAACTCTAAATGTATCACGACTTAAACAATAAGATAGTGATAATTTTTTATGATATTTTTTTTTAATATTTAGAAAAAATATATTTACACGTTAAAATTTCAATGACAAATTAAATTTAATTAAAATAAGGTTTGAAAAATATATTCAAAGATGTATTCATATGGCAAACCCAAAGAGAGATTATAAATATAATAGAACATGGGGAAAAGAAAATTAATTAACCATAACAATGAGTATACTATAATCAAGATCTTTTTGGCATGGGACCAAAAATATTTATTTCAGACCATATATATAAAAAGTAATATACCCGTGGACAATTAAAAGAAACTTACTGAAAAGCTATCGACAGGTTTGGCTCTAAGTGTGAGTTCCTTCATTTTTTGGGGGACGAATTTGAATATAAATGTTCCATTTGGGAAATGTACAAGAAACATACCAGTGAAAAATACACGAAAAATATCACAAATGTTCTAGAATAAGAAAAGGAAGATTAAAAAAAGCCATGAATATGGCTTGGAGATGAAGAAGAATAACCTAGCAAAAGAAGAAATATGAAGTGTTAGTATAACTAAAAGTAGTGGCATGCCAACCATTAATTAGTGCATGGGTTTGAGGATGTGTACTTAGCCTTAGGGTTGCAAAGTTTGCACGTAACCAAACTTGCACGTGACAATTAGGCTCTTTGGAAATTTTATTTGAAGGCCTAAAAACTTTTCACAAAACTAATTTTAGGTTTATACCGTCCAAGACCTAATTTATTAATTTTTCAATATATATAAAAAAAATAGCGATAGGAAAAACCTATACAAGGATATGCTCAAACAAATAATAATTTAAGTTACATTATTTGGATTAGTAAAAGTTTATTTCAAATTAAAGTTGATCAATTTTTTTTTGTTATTATCATTGTTAAGGTTTTAATTTGATATAGATTAGTGTTATTTCTTAGTTGATATTCGTAAAAACAAAAAAAATTATCAACATCAATAATATTTTTTCTTTTATGGCAAATACGATTTTTTGGTTGGCATTAACTAAATTATTTTTAATTTATATCTCAATTGCTATCATAAGGATATATTTTTTTTACAATCGTGATAAAAAAATAGGTCAAAGTTATTTCTCGACGAACATTAATTAGAGTTTTTTCAATCAACATTGATATGATCATTTTTATATTGATGCATGGTAGTTTTTTTTTTTATCAATAATGGTAATGAAAATAATTTTCACAAGCTAGGTTTAAGGTTGAATCTTATGCTATCAAAACAAAGTCTAGTGTTCTTAATCGTGCACAAGAGACATCAAGTAATAATGCTAGGTTATAATATATAGTTGGTGTCAAAAGTAAAAACAACTTTTAAGGGTTGGGGAACTTTTTTGTAGTTATTAAGGTGGGAAGGTTAGTCTAAAACATGAAAACAAGCATTTAACTCAAAAGAGATGATCAAACTTAGACATAGCTTTTTTAGGTTTATATTATTTATTTTTTAAATTTGATATCATATCTTAAATTTTATTTAATTTAAACATTATTTTTCAAACTTAATATATTAAGGATAATTTGTTATGATTTCAAGTTTCATAATATTTGAATGATTTAGGTGAAACTTGTAGTTGAAAATTAATAAGAATTATGGTTGACAATAACAAACAATAATTGCAGTAAGGCTATTCAGATAAAATAATTTTTTAGACAAATATCAACTTACATGATGATCCATCGCTAATTTTTTATGAAATATATTTAAATTTTGAAATATTTTCCTATATGCCTACATCCATCTCTCCATATAATTTAGTGATAATTTTATCAATAATGAAATTTACCAACAATTTTTTTTTCGTAAATAATTTTTTTTTTAAATCATCAACAAAGAACATTCATTAATGATGTACAATTTTTTTAGTGTAAGGTTAACAACAAATAAATGGCTTTTGAATGTTATAAAATTACTAGAAATGTGACTAACTTTAGACATAAAAATGCCAATGTAAAGTCATCATTGGTTTGATACCTAACATGACTTTTTTTTTTTTTTTTTAAAAGTAAACAAATTTAGTTACTCATGCGTTGGTAAGAGCTTTTATTTTACATGTTGGTCCCAAATATTTTCACCTTGTCCCCAACTATACAGTAGATTGCAATGGAATGATATAAGCATGTTTTTGAAAAAAAGAAATATTTTATAATTTAGGATTTTTTTTATTATGAAAAGTGATTGATGATTACTATCTACATTGCATTGCCACTTATATCATTCATAATATTAATACTTAAAATTGTACTTTTTTTTCTAACGTACATTTATAACTATTTATTTAAATATAATTTAGGTATTAGATACCAATACTTTATGATTTATATTTTATGTTATTTTATATAGGACAATCGATTTATTATGTGTATGTTTTTTTAATTAACAAATAAATGTCATTGAAAGTCACTAAAGTACCGTAGAAACAAACAAATGAAAAAAAAAAATCCTTTACCAATATTCATTAGGAAAAATTAATTCTAACAAAAAAAATCATATCAACCAAAATCAATATCTTGAAAAAGAAGAAAAGAAAACTAATTATATATGAACCATAAATACTCCAAACAAATCTAAAACATGTAGAAAACCATACATCATGTCATAACACACAAACTATCCTAGGAATACATAAATGAGATACAAATATTGCACAAGCAATTTAGGTCAAACAAGTATCATGAAAATCACATGACTTTCAAAACTAGAACAACCTTCCAAGGACAAATTGGTCTACATTTAGCACACCTCATCTTCAGTGCCCATTGACTAGAATGAAGATACTTGCATTATATCCTTCTTCTAATGACATACACATTCACTTGTTGATAAACTTATTCTTGATAGAGTTTTCCAACACTGTAATAACCTCAGTCCAGCCCTCAACCATCAAGGTGGAAGGAGGGAGTCATGGTATAAAAAGAAAAAAAAAATTAAGATTTTATCAAAAAAATATATTATTATCCTCTTTTAAAAATATTTATATATATTAGCCCATAAGATTGATTTTCTAGTTGTCTCTATTAATTACTATAGAGACACCATTTATTATGCTTCCTCCTTTATGTCTATATTTTCTCTCCTCTGGTTGTATATATATTTGCGAAAAAATACGTTGTGTATTTTTTATTTTGAAAAAGATACAAATGAGGTATAAATAGAATATAAGGTAATAAACCTATACACTAATCTATCCTTGAAAAATATTCTCCCTATAAATGATGTACATAACTATGCATAAATAATGAAATAAAACTGATTATATTATCATTAAATCCTATCATAATTGAATTATTATAATTGATAGTGTTGATCTCCAATACTCCCCCTCAATCTGGGTGGTAAATGTCTATCATACCCATATTGAATCTAATATGTTCCTTGGAAGAGCCTTTGTCGAGATATATGTTGTTTGTCTGCATGATGGAATATGGTCAACACTTATAATACTATGATCAATTTTTTCTTTAATGAAGTATCGTTTAATTCCACATGATTTGTCCTATCATGGTGGACTGAGTCCTTTGCTATGCTTATAATAGCTTTGTTGTCACACATTATCCTTATAGCATAATTGATAGGAATTTTGATTTCATCTAATATCCTCTTAAACTAGATTCCTTCACAGATACCTTGAGTCATAGCTCTGAATTCAGCTTCTGCACTACTCCTTGTCATCACAGGTTGCTTCTTGCTTTTCCAAGTCATCGAGTTTCCCCACACAAAGGAACAAGACAGAAGCCTGTAGTTGATTTCCTGTTAAAGGGACATCTTGCCCAATTTGAGTCAGTATAGACTTCAATACCTATGTTTGAGTTCTTCTTGAAGTAGAGTCATTGACCTAGT